CCATAAAGGACACCAGAAGGGGCGGGGCTTAGCCTCTCGAAAGCTCTAAGAAATTAGGTTTTGCTCCTTTCACGTTTGTAAATGGGGTGGACAAAATACTAGAAACACCACCACTCGGGTCGCTACGACTTCAATAATAAACATATTAAAATAAGTTTCTGACAACTGAAAACGTGTAACGTTTGTAAAAGTAGAATTGATGGCGGGACTGTTGCATTAAATAGTGCAGCTTTAACTTTTAAAGTGTGAATCTTCACTAAGTCATATTTCTGTGCAGTAACCACAGTCGACTGGATGCAGACCTCACAAATCACTGCCAGCCTTTGCAGTCGTTTTAAGTCGTCTTTGAACCCTTTTTTAGTTTCTGGTCTTCTGCCAAAAGTTTGGACCCGAGGAAGAGGAGAAAAAAAAGAGAGCTGAGTCATTTTACAAGAACAATCTGTATTCTCACCCTTTGTCGCTTCAGCTCCTTTTCTAAATCTCTTAAAGGATTTATCACATTAAAACCCCTTTTTACACATCTTGTTATCGTCCCCCCCCCCCCCGCTGCTTCTGTGTTCTTCATCACTGCCTCCTCCTCCCTCTCTCTTCTCGCCGTGCCAGTGGGAATCCCGGCTGTGACGACAGAAGCTGATGCTGCAGCAAAGTCCTGACTCTGCTGCTGAGGCTTTGATTCGGGATGCTAAAGCGTCCTTGATGTGTCAAACAATTAACAAAAAGCTGCAGAGAGAGGAGCATGTCGGGAAGATGGAGGGCCTTCAAATTAATAGTCTCTGAATCAAAGGCGATCATTCAGTTTCTTGCGAGCGTTCGCTTTTGTCCCCTTTGATTTCAATCTTCTTTTTTTTTTCAAAATATAAACCATGTGTTGTTCAGCCTCTCCCTTCCTCAGCTGTGACCTCCCTTCATGCTGCGTTACGAGGACCAAATCCCCCGAGTGGAAAACGTCAGCACCACAACATTAACAGCTGACCTTCTCTTCTCCCCTTACTCGTGCAGCTATGCAGAGACTCGGCAGCCGCATGCATGTTTTATTTAAAAAAAGAAACATTTTCCAGGCCCAAGCTGGGAGAAAAAGCAGCATTAAAAGCCTTTAGTTTGAGATATTTATGCTTAAAAATGCTAACTTCTTATTCAAAATGTCTATTTTTGCATCAGAACATTGCGCCCTGTGTGTCAATATGTTCTCTCTACCTCTGATATTCCCTGAAGACACACTTTGTCCAGTATTCAGTATTTGTTTTTACAGAAAGCCACTGTGACATGTTGTGCATCCAGCAGCACTGCAGGTACATTATGCTGCAGCTATACGACTTCAAAATACAGTTCGTATCACATTCATTCCCCTCAGGGAGACGTGTGGTCAAAGTATTATCGAATCTTGCCTCCTGCTGGTAATTGAGGACATGACACATTTGAATCAGCTGCTGTCTATGCAGACATCGTCCCACGCTATTATGCAGGAACATTTGCAAATATAATACTCACAGGACTGAGAGGTCAAGAAGAAGTCACTTTAGCAGCTGACAGCAGTTTGTTTTGCCTTGTTTTTGTCATACTGCGACGTGTGTGTGTGTGTGTGTGTGTGTGTGTGTGTGCTAGCTTGAGGACCATCATCTCTACTAGTTTAATTCACTGAGCCGCTAAATGTCACTCACATGTGCTTGTTGTCAGAGAGGAAATGAATCGGTGACTTCCTTCAAACATCTGAGATAAAAAAATCTTGGATTTGCACAAAGTGTGTCAGAAATAAATGAGGTTAAATCAACATGCAGAGCCAAACCACTGCGAGTGTGCTAACAGAAACGCTGTCATTCTGCTAAAGCTATATATACACACACACACTGACAGAGCCACACAGGTGTGGACATGATTAAATACCCTTCCATCAATCCAATACACCTAAACATAGCTGATGTTTGGTTCTGCCTGAAATATCTCAACAACTGGATCGATCGTCTTGTCATTTCGTACAGACATTCATGATCCCCAGAGGATGAATCCTACTGACTTTCGTGATCCCCTGACTTTTCCTCTTGTGCCTCAGGATGAATTGACTTTGATTAATTGCTCATTAACTTTGGTTTCCCCCCCTGATTTATTTTTATCACGTCCAAATATAATTGTTTGCTCACACTCTGGTTTATGAGTAAACACCTGCAGCACATTCCCATCGAGTCCATCAGCATCAACATCATGTTAGCATTTAGCTCTGAGCACCGCTGTGTCTCAGTACAAACTCACAGAGCTGCAGTCATAGCTTACCTTTATTTACAGGTGCAAGGTTCAGCCCAAAATCAAAAATACATATTTTTATTCCGACATGAAACTGCTCGCAATAAATCTTCGCAGATTAAGTTCAGTAACCGGGTCATGATTTCTGGAAAGAGACGTTGCTGCTTTATTGCAAACGTCTATGAATCCATTTTTCTGCACGTGTCGACATAAGTGAATGGTGGAAAGAGAGAAAACCGATTGTAGTGAAAGGACCAGATAGTCAGGTCTCATTTTTCAGGCCGCCCTCTCCCCCCCCCCCTCTCTCCTTTCATTTCTCTCTCACCTCCTCATTGTCACTCGGCTCCTGGCTGAACAGGAGGTGGTGTCCCTGCTGTTGTATCGGGGTTAAGGGGATGTTCAGGAGAAAGCTGCGGATCAGCAGGACTAGATCCTCACGCAGGATCAGCTCTGCTCTGTGAGTCCAGGGTTTTTATTTTAAACTGAAGTCGGTTTGTTGTTCAGGAGGTGAGGCCGACTTCCTGGATGTTTGTTGTCGTCAGAAAGAACAGATGTATGTTTTAGATTCTTAAAAACATCCATAAATGAGCTAAAACGTGGTGCGTTTTGATTAATTGCACCTGTTCTTTATAGCATTTTAAATTAATGTCTTTATTTATTAATCTCTCGTTTTGTACCACTTTGTAATACCCTTTATTGGGGTTCATAAGTTGTATTTAATGGCTAATGATTACTCTGCTCTTGCTTTATTGACTGTAATCCATCGATGAGGAAGTCTTTTGGGTCAAAGGGCCCAGGTTTAACAAGTTATGATCAATTCTACTATTTGTAAGACTTGATCGGAGGGTGGTGACATAAAAGTCAAAAGATGCCGGGATGAAAATGAGTCACTGACATGACTTCCTGTCGTTGTCAGCTGCTGTGAACAGGAGCGGTTGTAAATCACCGTACAGGTGCTTTGTTTCCTGTTTATCGTTGAGTTTTTCTTCAAACCACGTCGATTTCTGTGTCTGCGACTGCTGAAGCTTGTAAAGTATGAAACTAAACGTGTGTTTTAACTCTGAAGAGACAACACGGCAGTGAAGAGACTCTGAAGATGCTTCTGCAGCTTCATGTTTCTAGTTTTAATGCCGTCGCTTCTGGTTTTTGCTCTGCTGAGCTGCAGCGTTTAGGTGCTTCTCTGTATTCTTAATTGTTAGGAACAAACAACTGTTATGGTTCATAACTGCGAGGAAGCTATTCTGATAGTTGATTTATTGTTTTAGTTATTTTTTAAGCAAAAACACGAAACATTTGTTGTTTTTAGTTTCGTAAATGTGTCATATGTGATAATAAACTGAATATCTTTAGTTTTTGGATGTTGGTCAAATTAAATAAGGAATTTTGAATAAATTGTCTTTAGGCTTTTGGAAGCATTTTTCATAATTTATTAACTTTTGTGATATAATTATTAATAAATATTCCTGAATAAAGATTCATCAATAATTCATCAATGAAAATAGTCTTTGGTTGTATCTCTAATGAGAATTAGGATGAAGTTAACGTGTATTTTGGTGACTGGTGGTTCATTTATTTATAGTTTATTAATTATATATCTATATATAATAGAGAAACAAGTTTGTCTGAATGAGATGAATTAATCCTCCTTTTCTTATAGATCTTGACTTTCATATCTTGATTTTCTGCTCACTTGTTAGCATTGTCTTGTTAGCATTGTCATTGTTAGCGTGCTAACACCATGCTAACGTCAGCATTGTGAGTCAAAGCACCGACTCACAGAGCTGATAAAATGTTTCATCAAATTTAATTGATTTATCTGGAAATGAATCAACAAGCTTTTCACATATTTTCATCCAAAGTAGAGTCCCAGCTTCATCATGCTGAAGAAAGTAAATTTCATAACGGGGCGGTTATTATATGACTGCATCTGTAGCACAGTTGTGTGCAGTGAGATTGTCTCTCATGTGGAGCGTTTAACTGCTCTCTATAATCTTTAATTGTTGGCCTGTGGAGGCTGTGAAGTGTTGACTGCTGAGACATTTAAACACCATGAAACACTTGTTGCTTTAAATTCAAGTCAATTTCATTTTGGCAGATTTGCCTCGAAGGGAAACGTTGAGGAGCGCGAGCTCCACGAGAACCATTAGTGCAGATTTAGGATCGTCTCTCCTGAATTTAATCTATTAACGGATCTCTCTTTTTATTTTCTGTTTGATTTCTCTCTCTCTCTCTATTGTATATTGAGTCTTTCTCTACTGTTTTTTATTCAATTTAATGTTTAATCTATTTATTTACTTATTTAGGTTAGTCGACTAACACTCATACGATTTTGTCAATTTATCAATTAGTCTAATTTAATCTCCTTAAATAATCATGCAAAAGAATCACTTTAAATCTCGTGTTTACCAGAATACAAAGAACGACTAATCAACTAAAGACGACTAAGATCGAAATGAATCAAAGAACACGGGAGCGACTAAAGGAAAAGGACCAGAGGAGGATCTCACTTCAAGGACAAATAGACTTGAAATTGGTGTCACATGTACAAAGAGATTAACTGAGTCAGCAGCTTGTTGATCTCGACTTCCAGAGACTTTATAGTTTTACTCTTATTAGCTTGAAACAGATGAAAAGTAAACATTTTAGCTCCGGGCTGCAAAATAATTTATTATGTGTGCAGAAATTCAGCAAAATGATGTGTGTTGCTCAGTTATGTAATTAATCCGTTCTAACAGCCTCCTTTTTCTTCTTCTCTTCTCTTCCAGAGCTGAAAAAACAGAAGTATTAAGTGATGACCTACTACAGGTACTAGTCAATGAAGTGTGTGTGTGTGTGTGTGTGTGTGTGTGTGTGTGTGTGTTTTGCTGCCTCTCACAGGAAAAACATCATCATCCGTGCAAAGTATTCAGCGTGCATTAAATGACTTTTCACAAATGGCTTTCTGAGCTGCCTTCAGGCGCCGTTAATGGGCGCTGAAATTGAAGCTCTTTGAGAGACAAAAGGCAGAACGTCCCCACTGATTGACTCGGGGCGCTGCGCTGTAATTGATCTGATTTAATGCCGCCACATCGGTTCCACTGAGTTGGTTTAATAATGAAATGAAAGGCGTTTAGGAGCAACAGGTGATGGTGTTCGTATAAGTGTCACCCGGCTGAGGAGAAGCTGGCTGCTTGCTGCATGTGCATGTCTGTCTTTAAACATGACTCAATCACCGTATGTTTCCCGGTCTCATGCGCTTTCTTTCTCTCTGCGACAGGTGGAGAAACGTCTGGAGCTCGTCAAGCAGGTTTCCCACAGCACACACAAGAAGTTGACTGCCTGTCTGCAGGGCCAGCAGGGCGTGGACGTGGAAAAGAAGTCTGTCAGGTCGCCCTCGGTGAGGATCAAACCCGAAAACATTTGAATAATAATGTTAAGTGTTAGATTAAAGTTACTGCGAGGAACTGCTAACTGGTTCTGAACCAGTCTCAGTGTAGTCCTGATCCTCTATCAGACCTCCATCAGTAAATAGACCATCAGAGAGAAGATGGTCTATTTCTTTAGAGTTATTCTTAATGCTCGACATCGGTGGCACCGGGTCGGATTCTGGTGAAACCAGATGAACTCATGCAGGTTCACCAGAAACTCCTTCAGCTCAGACTCCAGCAGAGACCGGTCCACCGTGGACAGACCCAGATCCTCCAGCAGAGACCGGTCCACCGTGGACAGACCCAGATCCTCCAGCAGAGACCGGTCCACCGTGGACAGACCCAGATCCGGCTTCACCTGCAGCCTTGAACCTGCAGTCGGAGCTCCGGATGGAGGAGGAGAGCTCAGCTCCCAGCAGCAGCAGCGTCTCCTCCTCCTCCTCCTCCTCCTCCTCCAGGAGCAGAGCTTCTCCTCTCTGGGAGCCGACACCGACACCACGCTGCTGGAGACCCAGGACATATTGCTGGACCCGCTGGAGGGAAGGGAGGCATGGTAGAACCAGAACCAGGACTGAGAGGGGCAGACTGTCAGAGCCTGCTGCAGTAAAGTGAGAGGTTTCCTAAAGGGACTCTGGTGCTTGGAAATACTTTTCTCCACAAAATCAACACAAAATGAAAGTTCCTCACAGTAACTTTAATTATATAAATGTGATTCATGTGCTTCATTACAAAGTATCTCCTTAATCACAATTAACAGCAAACAAATCGATGACTTTGAACCATTAGAGAGAATAAAAGGATGGATTTTTCCTTCAGGGTTGAGTCTTTGTGTGTGCGTGTTGCAACACGTCGGTTCGTATCGATGCGTTTTGGTTGAACAACACATTCGACAGATTGATTCATCGATTGTTTGTCCGTGTGTGTTTGTGTTTTCTTTTTGTGCAGAAGAAGCTTCCTCTAACAACACTAGCACAATGTATGGTGGAGGGAGCGGCAGTGCTCGGGGACGAGTCTCTACTCGGGTGAGAACACACACACACACACACACACACACACACATCATTGATCATCTGTAACATTGGCTGCATTTTCTCTCGAAAAGTGGCGACATAGAAAGGAACGTTTTCATCATCTAGAGCTGATTTCACATTCAATATATCATTCAACCTTTATTCAAGCAGGAAAGCCTCTTAATACTTAACGTTCTTTGCTAACTTGCACATGATTTACGTCATGTTTTATTTATTTTTATTATTTCAGGTAACTGAAAGAGAAGAATACAGTAAATAAAAGTATTTCATAAGTTGATGTTGAGCTGTATTGTGAGTTACTCAGTGTTACATCACCTCGCTGCATTAACTCATAAATGCATCAGTGCTTATTGCAGAGTTTTGAGAGACAGTGCATGAGTAGATAAACATGTCATCCAGGAGAACTGAGACTGCTCTCTGATGTTTTCCTTGTTTTTCTGCTGCAGGAAGATGCTGAAGCTGTGCGGCGAGACGCAGGACAAACTCGCTCACGAGCTCATGTTGTTCGAGCTCACCATCGAGAGGGACGTCGTCGAGCCTCTGTACGATCTCGCAGAGGTACGGAAACTCAAATAACACTCATTTTCATATAATCACTGTAGACCCTGTGAAACAAAACGCAATCCAAGAGAAGACGGTAATAAATTAACGAGCAGGAAACAATTGAGAGAGTATAAACAGAATACTTTTCATTATAGAAGTTGTAGGAATATTTACTTCCTGTTATGTTTGCAGAGATTCAACCAAAAAAACATTAAGAACAGAAAAGTACCTGCTTCCTTTTGACACTTTTAACAGTCATTATCGCTCACAAGTCACATTCTCTTAGTTAAAGTGTTGTATAATACGTAATAACTGTGTATATTTAACTGCGTTTTCACTTAAGATATCCCCCAGACTCTTCATGCAAGAGATACCTTAGAAACTATTACTTTTATTTTTATATATTTAAAAAAATACAGGACTTCAAAATAAAGACAAATAAATCCATGCAGAAAAAGGCTGACTGACAAAACCATGAGGGTAAATAATAGAAAAATAGTTTATTTGAGCCCTCGTCAGACAAACCTGCTCTGTAATCTGTTGAAAAGCAGGAACACAGAGCTTCACCTTCATGTCTCTGATACCGGACACACTGTTCATTAATTACTCTTTAAATAAGCCAGTAAACTGATCTTCATGAGACAAAGAATCGGGTGCAGAGTTTCCCTCTTTCACAATGAACGGCTCTCTGCTCCGTTCTCTCAGGTGGAAATCCCAAATATCCAGAAACAGAGGAAACATTTAGCGAAGCTGGTCCTGGACATGGACTCGGCGCGCACACGGTGAGTCTGCTGCTGCGTTCCAGACAGAGACAGAGTTGTAACCATAAAACTTTACGCATGTCTACAATTACATTTAGATTTTCCAAAAGCACAAAGACATATTGTCACTGTTAATATATGATACACAATAATGACTTCATATGTTCTGCAGAATATCATTCATTTTTTTTTTTGAATGTTCTCTAAAATGCCAGATTATTACTCTCTTGTTCCCCACAGTCTAGTTTTCTTCCACTGTACCTACATTTAAGTACTAGTCGTAGTTTTACAGAATTACACTGTAAATTGTGAGCAAAAACTCCACGGGGCACCTTTAAGTAAATTATAGTTTGATAATTATCGATGAAGATAGAGGTTCACCACCTTTCATGTTGAATAATTTCTTATTTTTAAACTTTTAGGTGTGAAAACCTCTTGAATCGTCCCGTCAGTGCAGATTTCTCTCCCGTCCAATCAGAATCCGTCTCTGTGCTGATTCGCTGTCCTCTCAGAGCAGCGACACGGAGAGATTTGTGATTTTCTTTCGTTGCAGTTCAGTCAGTTGTTTTTTTTTAGTGACCTAAATCTGAGAGAGTTTTTTTCCATCATCCTGCTTTGAGCTGAGCTCCTCTGGCAGAGCGGCACATTATCTCCACCCAGACAGAGAGGGAAGACGAGGGCTTAGGTTAGAGACGAAGATGAGTTCAGTGAAAGAGGATACATTTATACTTATATTCATAGTCAAGTGTTCGATGGAGACTTAAGTCGGCTTTTAAAACAGCTCGTTGTGTGAGCTTCAGATTTTGTTGCAGATTATCACTCAAAAAAACTAAAGTCTGAAGCTGCTGAAGGCAAATACAATGTCTTCGTTTAGTTGTGTTCA